TTAATAAACTCATTCATGCAATTTCACAATACACAGAAACTTAGAAGACCAGAGATGACAGAAAAAGCTGTTGTGTCTTGTTGATGCAGCCAATACATTAAGCCTACTTAATGGATGTTGTTGAATGCAGCTGTAAATGAATAAATGAGTAATTAGTGGGCAGTGGCACCTTGGCACTTAACAAAGAGAAACAAACAAACAATTTAAAAACAAATGCAAGAAAGAAAAGCATAGCAATCAGGGGACGCTTGGTACAGGTGTGATCTCTCCTTGACTTTGAACAGCCTTTGATGATGATAGAATCATAGTGAACATTGATAAGTATAGCTCTATGCCTTCAAGGAAACAAAAAAAGTGTTCTTGAGAGTCTTTGTTTAACAAGACTGGGATGTGGATTGTGGCTCACACATTTTACATAACTTGTCACTTGAAAATGAAGTTTTGCTGCCAGGCCCACCACCACCTTTTGTGCCGGGATACCCAGAGGTCAGCTCTTGGGGGATGCAGGATTGCGGGGGTGGAAGGGAGGATGAGGGTTGATGGCAGGGGTGACCGGGGCTCACTATAGGCAGGTGGAGTGGAGCCTGGGGATTTTCCATGTGCATGGTCCCAGACTGGTTGGGAAGGGGAGGGTTCTAGGTTAGCATGCTGGCTTGGTGTATTGGTATGCTGGGCTTGGGGAACTATAAAAGGGCCTGGACCTTGGTGCATGGAGGGGTAAGGTCCCAAGGCCAGCACACATACCAGGAACTTGGGATCCTAGTGGCTGGGCAAAGCCCCAGCCCAGCACACCACTTCACCAGAGGATCAGCTACAGAAGGCTGGGCTGCAGAACCCATGTGCTCTTGGGCACAGGGACTGTGGGTTTATCAGTGAAAGGGACAAGGAGATAGGTGGGAGGGAAGACCACTGAGGGAGTATTTTACAGGTAAGTAATGACTTCAGAGGGATTTCTGTTGACAAGGCCACCCTACTTACCCGTAAGCAAAGGGGATGAGACCGAGTGGTTTAGAGGAGGAAGCCGGAGGCCCTTTCTGGGTCAGAATGATGCACCAGCTCACGTGGGAGACCTGAACTGGGCTAGTTAGCATTTACTACTGCAGAACACCACATTGTGGTACACACTAAAGCTAGGGCTGGGGGTCTAGCTGGCAGGGCTAGATCACAGTACATACCAATGAGAGTTAGGCCACAACACTAACCAGTATATGAGAGAACCAGGTCCGGGGGAATATTCTGTGGGAGATATATGGGCCCACCCCATGGAACTGCAATTTCCACTGGCTTGCTTAAGAGCTAGGGGTGGTGATGTGCTGAGCTAGGCATGATCATGGAGTCCTCCCCACTAATGGGTACTGGAGTTTGGATCAGATTAGGCTAGTCCAGGCTACAACATCTGCAGGTGCATCCAAGAATAGGGGATGGGGCACGACAGACCACAACATCTACCAGCTCATACAAAGGCTGGACAGAGGGGGCAGACTATACTGGCTAAGGATCTAGCACCCACCAACACATGTGAGATCTGGGTCTAGCAGTGGGCCTGTGGGGGGACTTGGGAAACTCCACTGCTGGGATGTAGCTCCTGCTGGTAAGCATGTGCTTCAGGCCTGGGTGTTGGTCAGGCCAGGCAAGGCAGTCTACTCGCCAGTAAGGGGGTGGGTTGGCTCTGGAGGGGTGTGGACTGGGAAGGGGGTTGGTTCTGGAGGGGTGTGGACTGGGAAGGGTTAGGCCAACCTTAGCCCACTCGTATATGCAGGAGCCAGGCTGGAGTGTGGGTCATGCTGGACTAGGTTACCCTACCTACAAGTTTGTATGAGTCAGGGAAGGCAGCAGACTGGGCAGAGCTAGGCTGAATCACCTGCCAGCAGGAGTTGGGACTTGGGGTGGGAGTTGGAGGCAGAGTTTGGCTTGGTCAGGCTGTAGCATCCAATGGCAAAGTTCATGACAGAGGATAGGCTATGCCAAACTGGGTCAGAGCAACCACTGACACATGCAAGAATTGTAGCTGGGAACAAACCTAGTTTGGAAACTAAGGGGATGCCACAGCTGGGTTATACTTCCTACTGGTGACTACAAGAGCTGAAATGGGTGCAGTGATCTGGGCTGGACATGACTACAGTGTTCTTTGGCATGGATGTGGACTGTGTCTGTGGTGTGCAAGACTGGGTTAGACTCCAGCACCCACTGGTGCTTATGAGAGCCAGGGCTAGGTCTTGGCTTCCACTAAGCTATGTGAGAGCTGGGTCTGGGTGTGGTTCAGGTATAGCTGGGCTGTAGCACCAACAGCAAGAACCAGAATTGGTGCAAGCTGGTTGGGCAAGTTCCTGTGAGACAGGAGATAGACCAGGTCAGGCTGGGCCACGAACCCACTAGTGTGTGCGATATCTGCCACTGGGAGGAGAACTGTTAGAGGAGCTTGGGGAACTCCTTTGTCAGGGTGTAGTCCCTACAGTTGAGCACAAGAACCAAGGCAAAGAGCAGTACAGTTCAGGCCAGGTTATGGTACCTGCTGACATACGTGTGGGTCAGATCTGGGAGCAGGCCAGGCTGGGTCAATTCATGACACTCACCAGCAGATCTGAGACCGAGGATGGGGTACAGGACAGGCCAGGTCAGGCCACAACACCAGCCAATTAACATTAGGACTAGTACTGGGAGCTGGCTGGGCTGGGCTGTGCTATAACACCCATCAGCATGAGCTGAAACTGGGGGCTGACTGGGCTGGACTAGTTTACAGCACCTGAAGGCCAATACCCAGGTGAGACAGGCCATGCCAGACTTGGCCACAGCACCCACCAGCACATGTGAGACCTGGGGTAGAGGGGGTGGTGCAAGCCCAGTAGAGGGGCTGTTGGGGCTCCCCTTCTGGGCCACTGCCCCGACTGGTGATTATGAAAACTGGGACTGGGGACAGACCTAGCCAGGTAGGACTATAACATCTGTTAGCCTGCTCATGAGCTGGGTTAGGGGGAAGGCCAGGCTAGGCTAAATAACTTGTGCATTCATGAGCCAGAGTTAGTGCAAGATGGTTGGACTTTGCCACAGCATCAGTTGGCAAGTGGTGGGACTTAGAGTAAACCCTGTTAAGCTAAACTGCAGTACCACCTGGAAAGTACAAGTTCTGCGATTGGGAATAGGCCTAGTAGGGAAACTGTGGGCACTTTGATAGGCTGCAACTCCTACTGGTGAGCAGGATAGCCAGCGCTGGAAGTGGGCTGGTAAGACAGGTGGTGACACCTGCCAACATGGGTATGGGTTGGACAGAGGAGTTAGTTGGGCTGAGCTAGGCTTCAATGTCTATTGACATATATATAGTACCTGAACGGGATGTAGGACAGACTAGACCATTCTGCTTCACATATTGGAAAGCACAGAAACCAGGCTGCAGGTGGGCCTTGTGATGGTTACTGGGGGTTGCTCTGACTAGGCTGCAATTTTCACTGAAATATGTGAGGGCTGAGTATATTATGGGCAGGGTTGGTTTATGTAAGAGACAGGACTGGGGACAGAACTAACCCAGTAATTATAACTACCACTATGTGTGTAGGCCAATGCGGATGACAGAGCTGAACCCCATACTGGCAAGCACACACAAGAGTCAGGTCTGGGATCACCTCAGATGAGGGTTCTTTGGGAATTCCCTCAACTGGATCACTAGGCTCAGAACTCCTACCACGGTGAAAATCACAGGTTATACGGTCTGACTGTGGAGTGCATGTGTCAGAACTGGGCCTCCTCAGTAGCTTAGATGGAGCAGTGCACAGCATGCCCAGATGCACATGGAGAATATGGCAGTCCATTGGGACCTGTAGAGGACATTGAGTATCATACCAAAGGAAGGAAAGCAGAACGAATTGGTCAGCTACTCCAGCCAAGTGTTGACAGCAAATATCTGCGTGAATGGAGACTCCAAGGTGGACTATGTCAGCCAATGGACCTTGGAAAGATTTCCTCATTCTTGGATTAGTGAGATAATAGCATTTCAGAATTATCAAAACCACTTGAGTAGAATCCTTGGAGCATGCTCCACATTGGGGACCCTGGGATGACATTGGGTGGCTGTTCCCCACCCCATGTTCTGAGGTGGTTGGGAGGCTGGGTGCAGCTCTACCCTTATTTCCTCCCTGCCCCAAGATACAGGAAAAAGAAAGAGAAAATTTGGAATCAATGGTCTCACCCACTTTCCTCTAATCCTTAACCCTTCCCACCCTAATCAACCCCGTAAACATCATCCAAAATAAAAGTAAAAGAAAAAAGTCTAGTTTAAGAGACAGGTGATACTTAGCTGCCTGAAAATTCCCATTCTTTCCAATGGTTCATTCTTACAACAGGCTCAATACCAAGAGTGTTGAACTGATACTGGGAGTTGAACTGATACAGTCCGCAGGACTGGAGGATATGGAAGGTTTAGAACCAGATTGTGACTCACTTCCTCATGATAAGTGGGAGCGTTCTAAACAACTGCAGCACAATACCAACCTCCCTGGTAAGAAAAGAAGTGTTAAAAGCAAGCATTCCATCACTTACTCCCTTTCACTACCAACATTACTACTTAAGGCCCCCAAGCTCCATGACTTAAAGAATACTCTGATTCCCTCACTGCTCATGCATGCCAATGCATGGTTCCAATGTTAAAAAAGAAATGAAAAAAAAAGTGTCTTGATACAGGCTCACAGTGTTTTGAACCAAAGATGCCATATAAATCTGAGACTTCTGTTGGGATGCCCACCTCAATCCTAGACAAAGGCAAATACAGACCCTGAATCTCTCCAGTGGCCAGGCTGGCCAACCCATTTCCCACTTGAGGCAAGAAGTAGCATGATGTGTGGTGTCCACTTCAGGAGAAATGCCCTACTATTACCAGAAGCCATTTTCCCCATTGCATTCCCTAGCCTGGCCAGGAAAACAGAGATGATGCCAGACAGTAGGATGAACCCTCACTAACATATCTTAATTGCCACACACAAACACTGACTCCTTCTCCTTTTGGTTCATAGAACTATGCGAAGCTCATTCCTGGTGCTACGGTGGGGCTACTGCAGAAGGACTCTGGAAATGTTCTCCAGCTCATCATCGCAGCCTACGAGGTATGGAGTTCCACAGGGCACAGGTTCCTGTGGCTTTCAAAAACTAAGATAATATTTCAGGTGGTGAGAGGCATTCTCCTTTGTTGGTACGATGTTTATCCAAAGAAAAATGCCTCTGTGTTAATGCAGCCAAAATATAAATTATACTCTATGCTTACATCATTTGTAGATCTTCCACCTGACAGGTAGAGCAAACAAAAGGTAAAAAAAAAATCATAAATCTGAGCCTCAATGCAAACTGTTTTTATAATAAGAACCAACTGCAGGACTGTCCCCGGCAAATGTTAATTTGACTGAAAAGGCTCCATGAGTCATACAATTAAGCCCTCTGTCTGAAAAAAAAAAAAACTAAGTTTAAATTACCAGTGAGTAACAGAGTTATATGGAGCACTAACTCTGCGGCTTAATGAGAAGAGACCTTAATGAAAGCAAAAACACAAGCATTGGCTATGCACCAAAATGCTTACAGCATACCAGGCACACCATGTCTCGGGATCTCTACTTTGGGGAAACTGGGGATTTTTCCCTCGATTTTATTAGTATTTATACAATCTTTTGCCTTGATTTGGCAAATTAATACCCCAGGAAAGAATTCCTCCTTTAAAATAAGATCCATAATTTGTCCCCATTACATAACTCAGTTATCACTAAAGGAGGGCCCAACTATCAACTCTTTGCTTACTAAATACATAAATATATAAACAGCCGCACACAGAGAGAGACACACACACAGAGATAAAAATGAAGTTCTGAATTAGGAAAGGCATGAAGAAGTAAATTATTATAAAACAATAAACTCTTAGCATTTGCTACATACATATTACCTTATCATGAGTGAAATCCTCCCAATTTATTTTTTAAAATTACAAATCAGAGATTGACATGCTACAGATGCCAATACTTAGCATATACTGCAAGAGTGTTCCCTAAATGACATCAAAATCATCAGAAAACAGTTTCTTCCCCAAATTCATTTAGTTTGCTGAGAGGCAGAAGTGACAGGGAGAGAGAAAGAGAGAGCAAGAGCGAGAAAGCAAGAAAGCAAGAAAGAGACAAAAGGAGACAGGATCTCTCATCTGCTAATTTACTTCCCAAATGGCTGCAATAGTTGTGGCTTGATCAGCTGAAGCCAGGAGCCTGTAACTCCATCTGGGTCTCTCATATAGGGAGGGACCCAAGCACCCAGGGCATTCTCCATTGCCTTTCCCAGGCACATTAGCAGGAAACTGGATTAGAATCAGAGCAGCTTGGACTCAACCTGGTACGCACATGAGATGCCAGCATTGGAAGTGGCAGCTTCACTCACTGCATCACAAAAAAGAGTATTAAGGGCAGGCATTTGACCTAGCAATTCAGACACATGTTGGGATGCACACATGCCAAATGAGAGTGCCTGAGTTCTGCTACCAACTCCATCTCCTTGCTGATATACACCATGGAACTGCTCAAGTGGTTGGGTTCCACCTATGTGTGACTTGTAGATTGACATGTAGACTGAACTCCTTGCTCTGTCTTCCACCTAGTCCGGACCTGGCCATTGTGGGCAACTGGGGAATCAACCAACAGATGAAGACTTTCCTGTCTCTGTCTCTCTCCTTCTCTGAAATAATAAATGACTAGATTTACTTAAACAAAAATTCTATAGAAGTATCTTTCAGTTTTACACAATGTTGCTCTATAATATTATTGGAGTTTGATGACTCAAATAGCAAAATATGCAATAGACAGTGATGATATATTTTTCTTCCAATAGTTTTAAATGTATTCTAAGAAGACTTGAAAAAAAATGGGAACCCATTGAGTGAATTCCTTTCTAGTTAACAAAGAGAATGGGGAAGATAATATACTGATAAGACATCTAAAATGCTTCAGTTTTTTTAAAAAAGCTTTATTTATTTTTATTGAAAAGGAAGATTTACAGAGAGAGGAGAGATACAACAGAGAGAGAGAGAGAGATCTTCTATCTGCCGATTTACTACCCAAATGGCCACAATGGCTAGAGCCAAGCTGACCTGAAGTCAGGAGCTTCTTCCAGGTCTTCCACATGGGTGTAGGGTCCTAAGGACTTGGGCTGTCCTTGACTACTTTCCCAGGCCACAAACAGGGAGCTGAATGGGAAGTGGGGCAGCCAGGACATGAAGCGGTGTTCATATGGGATCTTAACACATACAATGCAAGGCCTTCAGCCACTAGGCTATCATGCCAGGCCCAAATCCTTCCAATTTCTACTAAGGCAGAAAGATAATCTGTGCTGATAACATGGAGCTACAAACTGTCAGCATTTTACTGTGCAGTGTCAATATTTTTAAAAACTTGCAGTACTGGATGTATATTCACCTAACCCTCACCCATTAACTGCCTTCTTTGTCTAAGTGTGTAACAAAAGGTGTTCAATGACTCAGATGTCCAGGGCAAGCTCTTCTGTTGACATTTACATCCAGGAGGGCACTGATTGGTCGGGTTTGCCTGATATATAGGAGATGCCCAATGAGTGCCTAAATGAAATGATGACAAATACAAACGAACATTTCTATGCTTTCCTGGAGGACTTTATATCAAAATGATCCTGGTCAAATTTGGAATTCGATTCTCTGTGTGCTGAGATGTCCTCCATGTTAGATTATGTCACTCACTGGTCCTCATTAGTGCTGCCATTTACAGATTTTCACGTCATTTTCCACTTTTCTCTTTAAGCTCAGAATGTGCTGTTCCATGGCCCCCAATACTCCTGTTTTAACTCCTGATGGTTTTAGTCTGAGTAAAACTTGGAGGATGTCAGGGTCTTCTTATTATAGTGTTGGCCAGATCACATTAAATGTTTAAAGCTGAATGTGCTTTTAACATGTTAACTGCACAATGGGAATATGTACTCAAAATTTTCTGAACTTAATAATATGCTAACACTTATTCTGCTTTATTTTGTATTTAAGTTTGGCTATTTTCTCTTCAAAATATGCTTTTATCCTGTAAGTCAACAAAGAACAACAACCAAAAAAAGGTCAGTTTTTTGATGGGAGAAATTCAATTACGTAACTCCCAGAGCTGCCTGAACACTAATGTACAAGTATTGACTTCACAGCACAATTTTCACCTAGGTTTCAACCTCTGTAGAATCAGGTCCATCTAGAGTTAGCAAGGTATACTGCCACGTTCTGAGAGTTGACAATCACGAGTAGCTTCCGTTCATGACAGCCACTGTCATCATTTCCATTTGTTAAATACATTATTGCTACTATAAAAGTTAGTTTAATTGCCACTTAAAATACATTCAAAAAGTGTCTGCTATGATTTGAGATTCAGATGAGAAGTTAAGTATGCAGATATGTACCAAAACAGAGCAGCAGGGTGTAAATTTGATATCAGTGGGAAGATAGTCACTGTTGAAAGAGTTACTCCAATTCTGTAACCTTTCCAAAGCAACAGCCAGTTGCTCTTACGGGACCCAAGACATGGTGATGCTTACAAGCAAAGGAAGCTGTTGTTTTATGTTATCTTTGAGACATAAGCAAAAGAATTGTCTTTTACATGCCAAGCTGCGCAACTCAGGGAAGGAGAATTTGCCAAAACCCTCAGAGTGAATGAAATTATTTTCAAAGCCAAATTGCTTGAGCCTGATGGGACTAATTCATATATTCTGCCAAACTGTCCCCAGGTATCTGTCATAATTTAATTGTAGTAAAATAATAGCGTATCTTATAACTGATGGCATCTTCAATTTGATTAGATATGAAATACACTGCACACTTTCTTGCTTGATTGATGATACAATGAATTTATTTCAAGCCCTATTTGGCATTATTCATTTTTAGTTTAATGAACATGATTCAGAGTTGCCTCACCTGGCTGTATTTTGCTGTGACCTCATTTAACTCTTAATTCCTTAACTAAAGGAACTGCGGTCTGAAGTGGAGCTGGAAGTACTAGGAGACACGGAAGGAGTCAACTTGTCGTTCACAGCTATCTGTAACAACAGCACCCTCTTCCCACACCAGAAGAAATGCTCTCACATGAAGGTGGGAGACACAGTAAGTAGAGAGCCTACAGTCCCTCTGAAATAAATAAGCCAGTGGGTCAGACCTTAGCTTAGCTCACTTAAGTTTTGGATTCTTTCATGAATTTCACAGATCTCCTAAGAACATATTTTGCAGAGCAGATCACCTTACAGCTTTGGTCTCTCCTGCCTCTTGTTGGCTGGAGGAAACAGGTGCATTTGTTATGTTTTCTTGCAGGCCTCATTCAATGTGTCTGTAAGCGTAACAAACTGTGAGAAGAGAAACCAACACATTATCATAAAACCTGTGGGCCTGGGAGACACCCTGGATATCCTGGTCAGTCCCCAGTGCAACTGCGACTGTGAGCAAGAAGTGGAAGTAAACAGCTCCAAATGTCACAATGGTAATGGCTCCTTCCAGTGTGGGGTGTGTACCTGCCACCCAGGCCACATGGGTCCTCACTGTGAGTGTGGCGAGGACGTGCTGAGCACGGATTCCTGCAAAGAGGCCCCTGACCTTCCCTCATGCAGCGGCAGGGGTGACTGCTACTGCGGCCAGTGCGTCTGCCACCTCTCTCCCTATGGAAGTATCTACGGGCCGTACTGTCAGTGTGACAATTTCTCCTGCGTGAGACACAGAGGACTGCTTTGCGGAGGTAGGCAATGCTCTCAGTCCATATCTGACACAGGTTACACAGCTTCCTGGGCACAGGAGCTATTCAGCAAATGTGTGCTACTCAACTGAGTGACTTCATGTTTAGGTTGAGTTATTGAATCTCCTCCTCTCCTCCAGCCCCCAGCCTTACCATTTATTCTAGGTGGAATCTCTGCCTACTGAATTTGTGGTTAGCCAAAAGATGGCAATGAAACCCCAGACTCAATCAAAATGCCTGGGATCTGAACCCAGACTTTTTTGGACCAAGTTCCTGGCTCTGTCCCAATCCTTAAATGCTCATTACTTTAGAAATACCCAACAGCTAGGCTGCTAAACACACATACTGCCAAGGCCAGCATGGAGCACAACCTTGAGGTCCTGGACTCTTCACTGTGCCAGATCCTAGACTAGGCATGGGGTCTAAGAAAGTGAGGATAGATGTGAAGGAGGAGATGAAAATCTACCTGGAACTTCTTGAGAAATTTGAGAAGACCTAAAAATGGGAATATTTATGTGTTAAAATTCCTGGTAGATGTAAAGCCACTATAGTTTAAGAATGTAAGAGGAAACTTCAAAAAGCACATGGAAACATTATATCAAAAATGTTTTAGCAACAAATTTTTAGTTTCTTCTAACATATTTTCTTTAACTTTCTGAAGCACCCTCATGTTACATATAGCATGATGTACCATCATTCTGGTATATACAGGATATATTTATGCACAGTCTATTAAAGCAAGTATTATATGCATATTAACACTCAAAATTATTACTATAAAGAAAATAATTTCACACACTGCATCAGCCCCACTTTCTGCTTTTAAATGATAGACATTGGTGCTACAATTGAAATATTCACTGACTGTCAAATTAAAGCTCTAGCATGTCAGTTTTTCACAGTATGGAAGCAAACAGATCTTCAACCGCAGAGAGCCATTATCTCTACAGAAAAACTAAGTGAGTCAAGTTTCTAAATCAACATCAGGAGTATATAAAAGAGTCATTTTCCGAAAAGAAAGATGTGAGAGACAGAACGTTAAAGAACTGCCAGCTTTTTGAAAGTCATCAGATCCTCTTTGATTTCTTTACTACTGCTGTTGCAGGGGTCAAGGTGTGGGTTGTTCTGAGTAAAATCTGCTTCCCCCCCCTACCCCGTGCCCAGCAAAAGACCAAAAAAAAGTAGGGCTTGTCTCAGTGAAGAAATACCCCTCCTCCATCCTAATGCAAACAGGACCCAACCAGAGGTCAGCTATGGCCAGCTACAGCCACCCCTACACTACAGGAAAAATTCATGTGGCAAAGTCCCACCATGCATTTCTAGCACAAGTTTCCAAGAAAACATAAGTGGAATCCAATAACAAAAGAGTGTTAGTAACACCATCTAAATTTCACCCTTTAAATCTGAGATCAAACCAATCTAAGGCGTGTAAGTTGCTAAACTGTGTTTAGCAGCAAGGTATTTCCTGGCAGCCTTTCACTCTATTTCATACCATGAAAGAAGAATATAACTTTAAAAAGAGATAAGCTAGTCTGCGCATTGTAGTAAGGATTGTGGAACAATAGAGCCTTTCTTTGAACCAGTTGCAGTGATTGCTAAGGAATTCCATTTGGAAACCACAATGCTTTCTTCAGCTGGACTCTCAAACTTCACTCGCACCAATTTCCTCCTTACTGTGGGATGCTTTAAGATCCTCAATCATACTGTCTCTCCAAAGCTTTATTCTGTTTCTTAGCAGTACCAGAAACAATAATATGTTATAATGAGTATCCATTTCTTTAAAGTTACAGTAAAAGAAAATACAATTATTCAGATTCAACATATAGTTATGGGGACCTACTATATGCCTGGCTTTCGGCTTAGGACAGGGATGAAAACTGCCTGCCATCGTGGACACCATGTTCTGCAGTTACTGTTTTCAGCAGCAGGGCTAACGAGGCTACTGCTTCATATCTTGTGTGGATCTCACTTTTTAAAAAACCAGCAGACTCAGCATAGGCCACTTTTCTGAAGGTCTATTATCACAGTGTTCTTCTTCATACAATTTCTTTCATCCACCTGTAAGTACTCAAAGATATAGGGCTCCATTGATTTTGTTTTTTCCTTGCCCAAATTCCATTAGTGTCTCATATTTTGATTCAAGGAGCCTGGAAGCTCTAACAGGCAAATGACATTAGAGAAGAAATTTCCTGCCATTAGGCACTTACAGCTATTGTCAAATGCCATCCCGGAGAGATCCATCCTTCTAAAGAGTTGGGTAAATCTTTTCTTGCTATTTGGTTATCATCTTGCCTTTACATAAAACCAACAAGGTTTTGCTGCTGTGTGAGCAGGTGTGTCAGATAATTGATTGCTTGAACACATCAACTGGCAACTTTTGTAATCATGTTGATGGTTCTGGAAGGCTAGCAAAGAGGAAGATTTCTCTATTCTGAAAATGGGGTCCTTCAATACTTGGGCCATGAATGGTCCCTCTCTACTCTACATGGAGAGTTTCTAAATTTCTTCCAAGTAATTCTGACAGGCAATTACAAACTGGGGCATTCACAAAACATTTGGAAATGTTCATATAAAAGTATTTATAAATTATATTAAAACCTCCACATAGACTATGATATAGAAGCTTAGGTCATAAAAGTTTCTCCTTTGCTGAGGAAGGAAAAAAAAAAAAAAAGACACCATCTTAGAAGACTGCCTATATATAAATGCTAAGTTAATGGCTTTGGCCCAAATGCCTTCATTATTCTTGACTTTGAATCAATTAGTTCAGTTATGAATGGCACATAACTGAAAAGCAGTTGGAATGTGTCTTGATGAATCCAGATAAACTTCATTCTTCTTTCATTAGCTAAGCATGTCTTTTTAGTACACACACACATGCCTCAAAAAGTTGGTGGAAAATGAAACTTTAAAATAAGTTTATTTTGGTGCAAACAACACCCCCCCCGAAATCCATGTATATAATAGGGCTTTCAAAATACTAATGAAAAATACATATTATGAAAAGAAAAAACCATGCATGGGTTTTAGTTTTGTTGTTCTAAGATACATACCAGAAGTAATTAAAATTCAACTTCAAATTCTTTGTGATTATCTTCTGTGTCTTGTGATTTTTAAATCAATTAGAGGATTGGGCCAAGCACTCTCCCAGCCCAAGCCCAATAAGGTTCACTCATGAACACAGTAATTAGACCAAAAATGACAAGAGAAAATCTAGAATCTTCCTTCACCAGGGAACTCAGCCATGTCTCCTCCAAATGGAAACCTGCCTCTTTTGTGATTATTTTTACTTCTGCTTTGTTTTCAGCAAAACAGTAGGAATTTTAATGGATAATTTTATTTATAAATTTTTCCTACTGGGTAAGTTTTGAAAGTAAGTCTAATAACTGCCACATATGCAGTATTTACTTACAACCAGGCACAGTTACAAACATTGTTAAATTCATATAGCATCTTGATTAATCCTAATTGTTCTGGAAGAACAAATTCTGAGAGACAGAATGCTTTAAAGCACATTTTTTTTCTTCTGAAGAAAAATAACAATTACCAGAGTTTGTAAATAAATGCGGTTTGTTCAGAATATCAAGTGCCTATTTCAGTATTTTGGGAAGGGAAGACACCCAAATCAGGATAAAAAAGAATGCACAAGTACATTATCTTAAACAGTTAACAATCTCAGAATGTTTTGCATACCATTAGGTGACCAGGTAGAGAATGTGCCCTTTGAAATTAGACAAGATACTTGTCTGCAACAAGTGTCTTGCCTCCTGGATTTTTGTTTGTTGTTTTTGTATTTTTAAAGATGTATTTATTTACTTAAAAGAGTAACAGGAAGGCAGGGAGGCAGGAAGAAAGAGATAATATTTTCCATTTGCTAATTCCTTCCCAGAGGGCTGCAAGTGGCCAGATCTGAGCCATCCTAAAGCCAAGAGCCAGGAGCTTCAATCAGATCTCCCATGTAGGTAGCAGGAACCCAAGCACTTGGGACATCTGCTGATTTTCCCAGGTCATTAGTAGGGAACTGGACCAAAAGTGGAGCAGCCAAGACATGAACTGGTACCCATATGGGATGCTGGCCTTGAAAACAGCAGCTCTGCCCACTCTAACACAGCACCAGACCCATGTGCCTCCTCTTTTCAGTCTGTCTCTTCCCCAGCCTTCAGCATCATCATTCCAATTCTCCTCCAAGCTCTCAGCTGGTCTTGTAAAAACCCTTTTCCCTGGTCACCTATTTATTGCTATTATTTACTTACTGTTTGTTTTATGAAAGAGAGATCCTGTCCTCTGGTTTAAGCGTTCAGTTCTGCAACCACTAGGCTGAGCCAGAACTGCAGCCAACAACAAAATCCATGTTTCCCACGTGGGTGGCAGGAACCCATGTTCATGAGCCTCCCAAGATCTGCACTGCTAGGAAGTTGGAGCCAGAGCCAGGAACCAAACCCAGAGTCTACTGTATAAGATGTGGGTATCTTAGCTGCCCGCTAAATATCTAATCATACTACCGTGCTTTAAATACTGATGCTCTCCAGAAATTTCTCACTGTGCATATTTTTCCTAAATGGCCTGATCCATGACATCTTTCTCTGATGACTCTGAAACCCACAGCTTCAGGCATATCACCACCAAGATATCAACCACCAAGATATCCCAAGGACCCTTCCAAAACAGAGCCACAAGTGAACTTAGCTTCTTCTCCCAAAGCTGTTTTTCTTCCCCTTCTTCCATCTGCTCATTTCAACAGCTGAGCTCTAGTCTAGATTGGGCCTGGAGATTATAGCAGTGACCATGTGCTACCTTCAATTCTGGGTCAGTGAGATACCAGACCATCTGCTAGCTGCCCAGTTGAGAATCCCATCTCTGCTTCTCTCGTCATAAACCCTGCCTCTGGCACCAGTCACACCCATGCCCCAAGCATGCCAACACCAAATTGTATTTCCTTCTGCTCCACTCTCATGGGTGCTGGTATAGTTCAGTGTCATATCTTCTGGCCTCTGCTGCTGCAGGAGCCTCCTGACTGGCTGTCTTGTCTTCTATTCAACCCTCTCTGCTGATGCCAGGATATCCCTAAACATGCATCTATCTGTTAACACCTCTCCCTTGCTTAAAATCCCATAGCTATTCAGATAAAAAGTCCTACTTCAACCAATAAGCCTTTTCATAATCTAATTTCTACTTTTGTTGACTTTTCCCTCATCCCCTGCCAGGGCCCTTCCCAGAGGAAGGAACCAGCCCTATGAAACTACCAGGGCTATTAAACAGGTCACGTAAGCTCACACTGCCATCATGTATCTAAACTTTTATTCTCTGCCTGAAATGCATGAGACCTTGCTCTTGTTATTTACCCTGTATAATTATCTTGTAAATTCATCTCGAGTGCCTCATGCTCTAGAAACATTCTCAGATCTCCACTCTAGTTCATGCATTCTTTCTCTGTGCATATAGCCCTTTTCATGCAGCCCTTTTCACACTATACTACATGTCTTAGTTCAGTGGTAGTACATGTTAGCCTGACACTTACACTAAATTATCAATTCAGTGACCTTGTCTTGTTAAATGTTATATACCCATGATTAAAACAAATTTTGGCAGGTACTATATGCTCAGTTAAAGTTTGTTGCATAATGAACTCGTAGAACACTCACCTCAAGTCTGTGGGGACATCATTCCTGGTGAGGCAAACTTGGGAAACTTAGGCATTACTTCATCTGACTACAGTGAAGTGAAGTAGTTTTCACTCCCTCTGTCTCATAGAGGAAGCTTTCATGAATGCTTATCTTGAGTGACACAGAAGGACGGGATCTGTCCAGTGACAGCTCCATTAAAAGTTCAAGAATAATTACGTATACAAGGGTACTTCAAACAGGTTATGGGAAAATGGAATCCAAAGATAACTTTATTTTAGTGCAAAAATTTTTGAAACCCATTTATAAAAGACATCTTCCAAAAGTTCAAAAACTGCACATTATGGAAAAAGCAATGCATACATTTCTAAATTTTTTTTAACAAAAGAGACATATCTCTTAATTCTAATTTTCCTACACTTTAACAATCCTTTCATATATGCACATGGCTGCACATACACACACAGAGTGGCTATTATGGGTTTACTGCCTTTTACCATCTGAGCTAGTCATAAATTCTATTTGATTTATATGTGGTAATATGTGGATCTTCCATAAAGAGACCAGGTCAGTAAATAAAACAAAACACAGTCAATAAAAATACATCTACACTCCCTACTCCCCACCCCAATTAACAGACTCTTTGCTCATTTTTCCTTCAGCCTTTTTGGTGGTAAAGACAAAGAGACAAGATCCTAGACACACACACTCATACACACGCACTCACACCCACGCACACAACATACACACCTGCAAGTGGTTCTGGCCTTAAAGGGTCCAGGGTTTAATGTTTTGCAGACAATGGCGACTGCGAGTGTGGTGAGTGCGTGTGCCGGAGCGGCTGGACGGGCGAGTACTGCAATTGTACCACGCACACAGAGTCGTGTGTCGCCGAAGACGGGGTGCTCTGCAGTGGGCGAGGGGACTGCGTCTGCGGCAAGTGTGTCTGCACCAATCCTGGAGCCTCAGGCCCCACCTGTGAGAGATGCCCAACCTGCGGTGATCCCTGTAACTCAAAACGGTAATATCTGCTCTGTCTTCAGATTCCTTTGTAGACAGGGTTCGTGGTGATCAAAGTCAGGATGTTATCTTGTAAATTTACACTGCAGATGGCCTTTGTGGAGTCTGGGTTCTCAGCATCCACCAAAACACACAAACTCCATGGCCCTTGTGCTCCTCAGCCTGGAGCACCAGGCTCTCCTGCTGCCTCTTGCTCAGTCCTGATCACCCCCCACATCACCCAGATGCCTCCTTTCTCTGCCACACTGGCTTGGAGACCTTGGTGCTGTGTCCCACACTGATAACGTCAGATGGCCTCTGGGTTACAACACTAGCTACACAGAAGGAATGCCCTGGAGGGAAACTGATGACCCTCCCTCACCAATCAGTAACCTTTTCAGGGAAAGCAGACAAGCTGCCTTCTTATCTTTATAGACTGACCTTACAGAGTTACAGCTTTCCACAGATAACAGGGAGGACAGTGGCAGAAAGACAATCTCAGCGCCCAGCCCCTCCCCTCCTCTCAGTCACCCCCACTCTTTGACAACTTTCTTTGGTTGCCATTGAGTCGTGTGCCTATTTGCTTTTAAAGCAGACAACAACAACAAAACCTCACATGGTCTTGCTTTCCAGTAAGAAAAGGATTTCTGTGGTTGGCTGCTAATGTCTATAGAAATGGGGGGGATGTGTAGATCACAGAGAGCAAATCCTCAAAGCAGCTGTGCTGGATCACGGCTGTGACGAATCTACTAGGTAGCAAATATGCACTTCCTATTTTTATTAACTCCAAAATGGTGACATTTGCATTGCTGATGTAAACAGAGTGAGAAGCTCAATTTTTCACTCACTGGTTATTCATCATTCAGGTGCCAAAATGTCTGTCATTGCCCCTAACTAGGACATATGCCAGGAAGAGCCTTGGAACAAGATTGGAATGATTAACATAGATTCTAATGTAAAATATCCTTTAAAAATGTTTCTATCATTTATTTCCTCTTCTCTGTAAACATGGCTCAATCTTAAATCAGATTTACAAGACATGAAATTAGCAAAGTAGTTGGATTTGGAAATGAAGTAGAGAGATCTCCTTGGTGTTTATACTCATTTTGAGACGGCTATTCTTTCATTGATTAAACTGGTAGTAAGTTCCTACTGTATGCCAAGAATCAGGTTAAACCTATGGGCATGCAGAAAAGACTGAAATAGATATCATCCCTGCCTTTATAGGTGCTAAGAGCCTGGTGAGAAAGATAGGCTTACAAAAGTATTTACAGTGATATCTAGGCTGGCAATAGAAATAAGGCATATTGAAAATACAATGGAGCTACAATTTCCAAGATAGGCTGTCAAACAAGCTGCTGCATGCATTAGTGAGATGCCCAAAAGGAATGGCTATTTAAGGGCTTTCATATTCTCCACCAAACCCCTGCAAAGCTACTCCAGATAAAGACCTATCTATACAAATGTACTCTAGTTGCAATGCAAAGGTCACCTGAAAGGAAAACCTCTATTTCCCTCCTGAGCCTTCTGTAGTGGAATTCTGGGGTTTCTGTTGTAAGAGAACTCACAGGCCCAACAGTAAGAGAAGGTTAGCCATGGAGGGGCAGCGTGAGTTGAGACTGGACAATGCATGGTAGAGAGTGTCACCAGCACCGAGAGGAATGTGTTTCCATGGCAGCGGGAGAGAGTGCACATGCTGTGTACCCACCTGTATGGAGTAAGCCAAGTTTCCTGTTTCAAGTTACTCCACAGTCTACTTGGCAAGTGGTTCTCAGCTCAAGATTAACTCAGAGTCTGATTTTTACTCTGCTCTATTCTACACCATGTTCTCAGAATTGAAACCCCTTTTATATAAGAAGCAATCTTAATAAAAGATGCTTGCAGACAAGAGAATCCAGGTCCCAATCTGCAGCTTTTGGAAATGCCCCCATCAAGGTTTCAACTTATTCAAAAGCGAAATTTTTAAATGATTAGATTTTATTTGCCTATCACTTGGAAAAGCACTAATCATTTTTTACATTCTTGTTACTATATAGACAATTTCTGTTAAGAAATTCAAAGCTTATCCTCGTCTTTAATTGTATTTCAGGAAGATAAGTTCTTGCTAGGGAAAAATAAAATCAAAGAATGGCTAAATCAAATATCAAAAACTAAATACTTATTGTGACTTAACCAATCAGAAGCAATCACTAAAGATAAGTAAGCACAGTAGTTATTATCTAGGCCGGCACAAGAATATTGATTATTGAGTGGAATTCAGAAAGTCAATGTCCGAATATCATTCAACTGCCTTTTTGAAAGGAACAAAAGACAGTGCTGTATATGAAACACTCCTATTAGTACGAACTGCTACTGCAATAGTAAAGCAATATTCTAGCTATTTTCCACAAGCATGACCTGATCAATTGTTACCTATTGTCCACAGGAGTTGCCTTGAATGCCACTTGTCTGCAGATGGCCAGAGCCAAGAAGAATGTGTGGACAAATGCAAACTGGCAGGTGCAACCATCAGTGAAGAAAAAGGTTCTACTTGTCTTAAATTGTTCTCATTTCCCTCCCATAGTTCTCAAGGGGCAGAAATTCTTTGAATTCAGGGATTCTTAATAGGTCCAGCGCATACACACTAGCGCATTAGCTGCCTCATATTCTTTTTTGTTTTCTTGAGTCACTGCCTTCCATGAGGCTAAAACCTTGATAACTTGACATATAAACAATTTAGTCATAGCAAATCCATTTGGTTACAGCTCTATTGACAAGTTCATTTTGCTTAACAAATACCACTGCAGAGAATTCCAGAATGCTCTATCACCCAAAATAGAAATGGAGAAATTGAAGACATGGCTATACGTTTGACCTCAAACCGGAAATCATCTTAACATCTGATCGTCTTAAAGATAAGATAGAGCAGTCTGTAAGACAGTGCTACTGAGAGTAACTCCCAGATACTGGACTGTTTCTGATCAGTGACCATTTTGCTCCATATATGTTCACTCCTGACCTCCCCAGTGAGGCCTTGCATGCCCCTCCTGACTTCCTATTGCCTTATTCTCAAAATATAAAGGCCAATTATGTTAGCTACTCAGCAAACTCTGTGCTGGCTTTCATCTATTATAGTAAATTTAATTACTTAAAATCAAACTCTTCCTAATGATCAAATTTCATCTCAAATATTCTGACTATGTTTTAGATGGAAAGCTCATCTAGAAAATGATTTATGAACTTTGCAACAAACAAAAAAAGAAGGCTAACTCTTCCTAAAGGGACACTCTGGGGTAATTTGGCATGCAATCATTTCAAGCTCTGCTTTGTCAAGCTGTTCATGTGGAATTACTACCCCATGTGCTGCAGAGATGTAAACATGACATACTGCAAGTGAAATTATCAAGATAATAATTTATGATGCTGTAGAATATATACCTGACTAGCTAGAAATTAGAATATGGAAATTAAACCCTTCCCAAAATGGAATAAGTTAATAACATTTGTAGTCATGTGAAAATTGTTGACCTGGTTTCAAAATTGTACTCAATGGAATTACTGTAAGCAGACATGACTAGTGACATAAAGCATCTCATCCGTACATTTCTGGTGACCAAAAATAAACATGCCAGATAACAGTAAAAGGGCTGAGATGGTGTGTTCCTTACCATGGAAAGTAAGGTGCACTAAGGTGCTAAATGAAGTGGCCCACATTAGTAAATAGTCCAAAGTCTCAGCATATCTTTCTGGGCTCACTTCACAGCAAACAGTGAGTATATCTACCGCTAATTCCTGAGAAATGAGTAAAAATGTCAAAACAAACAAACAAACAAACAAACCCCAACCTTGTAAATGACTAGAACCCAATTCCTTAGCAACAGAGGAACTCTAATGTGCTGAGCAAAATAGGGGAAAACCTCAGAAACATGTCAATCATGATGACAGTTACTATATTAAATTCACAATTTTCTAAGTATATCATAAATGCTTGGATTTCTAGGGATACTAGGCAAGTGGCATTTAAAAGACTGATGTTATTGTGTAAAAATATACATATGTTAGACTACGACTTTTACAAACACCTTTACAATGAGCCCTTGTATATGTTTCAAGTTATTCACCCACCTCTGTCATGGATCAGACCACCCTGAAATGAGTACATCATTGTTGTGTGTCTCCAAGGTCTTTCAGCAACCCACTTCTCTCCCAACAAGGCTGTGGGAGGAAGGTAAACTGTCAGTTTTGCTGTGGGCAAATCTCAGCACCTGTGGTATAATCTTATTTTTGTTTTAAGGATCTAATTGCTTTTAAGATTTGTTTATTTCTTATAGGAAAGTCAGATTTGCAGAAAGTGGAGAGGCAAAAAGTGGGAGAGACAGAGAGAAATATCTTCCATCCACTGATTTACTCCCCAAGTGGCCAATATGGGTAGAGCTGAGCCAATCCAAAGTCAGGAGCCCAGAGCTTCTTCCAGGTCTCTGACATGGGTAGAAGGTCCCAAGCGTTTATGCTGTCTTCTACTGCTTTCCCAGACCACAAGGAAATAGCTGACTGGGAAGCAAAGCAGCTGGGATTAGAACTGACACCCATATGGGATGCCGGCAGGTTCAAGGCAGCAAGGATTTAGCCAATACACTATTGTGCTTGGGCCTGAAAGAGTTCCTTTTAATCTACCCCAACATTATGTACTCAAAGCCTCATTATTCAAATTTTGTTCCATGAAGCTTCATTAAATGTAAAAGCATTAAATGGAAAAACGTACACACGGTCCTATATACGTTGGAAATGAGAAACAAAGTTTTTTTGTTTTCTGGTTGGTTTGTCTGGGGCACCAGATTAAATATGTATTGCAAATCACCAAGAAAGGCCAGAGGAGGAATTACAGTAAAGAAGGGATTCCCAATGTGACTGGACAGAGAAATTTTTTTAATCCCTGGGAAAATCTGTTTTCTTTCTAACTGATGTGAGTGGTCTTAAAGCACGTGGTTGTCCTGACACAGCCGAGTTATTTCCTACGTCTTTCCTGTTCCTTCCCAGATTCCATCTCCTTGTCCTCTGCTCTTGCTTTTCTTCAAGTATGATTTTGCAGACCGCCTGGGATCTCATTTTCACAGTTTTATTCTACAACAGTACTGTGAGCACTCACACAGGAGGCTAAAAAAGAAAGGTCCTTTTTTTTATGAACAACAAAAGAAAGTCTTAGGAACTAATTATGCAAATCTTCCATTGCCTGTTCAATAATACAATTTCAATGCTCAAATACCACAAAACAGGCTGCAGCTATAGCTATAATAGTCATGTAAAGGAGTGTGGAAGTAATTAAGCCAAGACAGCAGTTGTGACTCAAAGATCATATTTGCAGTTCCATTAAAACTTAAATAATCCTAGCCACATGAAGTACGCCTCCCTCGGCTTCGGTGTCACTGCTTAAAAGGGAATAAGAACACAAAATTAATATTACTGAAAGGGGTATGATAAGCAGTCCACATATTTTCTACCTGAGAACAAAGTATTCTGCCAAGTATTTTCAAGAGGAGCAAAGTGGGCCTGGGCTATCATGGTGGAGAGGGAGAAAGGAACACTCTAAAAAAACAAAACTCAGATTCCCTTAAACTTCAGGAATGCTAGTTAACTGGAATGTATGGCTGAAAGAGATATAGTGAAGACCATCTAAAAATGACCAAACTGCAATGACATACGCAATGTCATTTGCAACCCAATCCATAACATAACAAATTTTACTAATCAAATATTGAGATTCCCAAACCTCTTCATCAGAATCACCTTATTAAAAATGCTCATTAAACAGTTGGCCAGAAGTCCAAGTCCCTATGCAAACAGCCAGATTTTCAAATGAGAACATTTAGGGGTGTGTCCCCAGAATCAACTTGGTCAAAACTCCTTGATCATTTGGATGGTTGTAGACATCTGGGAAAGACCAGATGAGAATATTAATGATTCGATTTCTTAATATTCTCACATAAAACAATACCTCTAGCAGTTAAAAACACCTTGAACACTTACATCTATCATCTAAAGCCTTATTTATAGTGTTAAACGTTTTACTATCTTCTCATGGATAAGACAGGCTTCTACATTAAATGCAAAGACAACAGCAAACAATGTTTCTATCTCAGTATGACTGTGGCATTTTTACACCTAAAACAGGTTATTATTTAGATTTTTTTGTCATAGAAACTAAAACAGATTGTTTTACTGGCATTTAAAAAATTTTTATATTGATAAGAGACTATCAATTGTGGAAGAATATGTCCAAGCTAATCTGGGTCAGTACCAGTTTTAATATTCCGGCATACCACATTATCCGATCACTACATGCTACTGTCAGGTTACACCATGTCTTCCAAGTTGCATTAAGAGAAAATTCTCATTCTGCTTAAACAGTGTTTATAACAGTATCATTGAAAAGCCTACCACTTAAAAGATAAGAGAACAGTTAAGCAAGTTTGTGTTTTAAGTAGGAAAACACTACACCGTTTTGGCAGAGGAGCTAAATACTTATTAGAATATTTGTTGGAATATCAGAATATCTGATAAATAGTACTGACATCTCAGAGTGGCCATTTTAGTTTGTTTTCAATTCCTGCCATGACATTCATTTTCTACTTCTTAAATAGGCTTGACAAGAAACTTTATTTGAAAAATATTTGAAAAAAACTGATTTTTATTTTCATTAAGAAAGGAGCACTCCAGAATGACAGACTGTCATTCTGGATTCCTCTCAATCTGAGGGTTATCTTTATCCTGCTGGCCCCTGAGCTAAATAACACCCCATCTCAGCATCCTGATACCAATTTTTTTATTTACTGCTGTGACAATATGTGACCAGCATCCTCACTATGCCTATTTTAAAGCAGCAGCATCTGGGGTAGGCACTGGTCTCTGTGTTTCAGACAGTAACTGGGATGCCCAGATCCCATAGCAGAATGCCTGGGTTGGAATTCCAGCTCCACTTCCCATTTCAGCTTCCTGGTCACTCACATCCTGGGAAGCAGCAAGTGTTGGCTCCCGTAGTTGGGTCTCTACCACTTACATAGCCAGCTGGCTTTGGCCTGGCCCAACCCCAGCTCTTGAGGCATTTGGAGGAGTACAGCAGCACAAAGATCTCTGCCTCCGCCTCTCAGAAGAAAAAGGTGTCTGCTTGGACATCTTTTCCATTGCAGTCAGTAAAGAACCTATAACCAACCTCCTCATGACCACAATCAGGATCCGTCGGGGCATGAGCCAGCAGTGGGCACCTGCCTGGTGATCCTTTCATCCTACTGAAATCCTGCACACATCCAGTTGAGAAGTACACTAATGGTCAGGCCTGACTGGCCACGTCTGGCATTGTTCTTCCCACCTGGTAGGAAAAAGCTTTACCACTCCCATTCTACAATATGAAGATTCTTATTTGCATATTAAAACTCAATGCTCCTTTGCTGTAAAAATAATCTCCTGGCATCTCATTTAACCTAATGAATGTCTCTTTTATCTACAGATTTCTCAAAGGATAGTTCTGTTTCCTGCTCTCTGCAAGGAGAAAATGAGTGTCTTATTACATTCCTAATAACTACAGATAACGAGGGGAGATCCATCATTCACAGCATCGATGAAACAGGTGGGTAGCTTGCCTTGCCTGTCACTGGCAAGTGACACTAGGTAGAACAGAACACCATCAGCCCATTACTCTGGGTCACTTGCCAGGAAATACATCCCCAAACTTCTAATGGGAAGTTTTTCTGCTTTTCTCTGAATCGAAAGATACCCATTAAAAGGTTTGCTATGTTCCAAATGTCTTATTAAGACCAGACGAAAGCTAGCTGGTATTTGCACCAATCATCACCTGACAGTGGGCTGATGATTTGAGGAAAGGCCAACTGATTAAATGAAGCATAATCACAAAGGGTGTGTCTTCTGGACAAGTTAGCAGGGAAGAATAAAGCAGTTATTAAAAAGAGAGTTGAAGTGGTCTGGCATGGTAGCCTAGTGGCCAAAATCCTTGCCTTATATGCACCAGGATCCCATATGGGTGCCAGTTCATGTCCCGGCTGCCCCATTTTCCATTCAGTTCCCTACTTGTGGCATGGGAGGGCAGTGGAGGATGGCCCCTTGGGATCCTGCACCCGTGCTGGAGACATGGAAGAAGCTCCAGGCTCCTGACTTCCAATTGGCTCAGCTCTGGCTGTTGAGGCTACTTCTGCCTCTCCTTCTCTCTGTAGATCTGCCTTTCCAAGAAAAGTAAACAGTAATAATAATAAAAATAAAGTTGGACTGGGCAGACTTGGGTTCAAATCCTGCTCTGCCATTCAATTATTGCTTGATGTTCCAGAAGACACTTCCCTCTCTGAATCACTACTCTGTCATCAGAACTTCTAAGTGGCAATGAGTAAGTTCTGGTTATGGGTTCATGATAATGCTAAACCAGAATGACATGCAAGGAAGGGTGTGATCTATAAAAGATGTCAGGACTAGTTGCCTCTGTAGATTTTCATCCTTATCACTTTCTGGGATTGGTCTGAGACTTAGGACACTCTCAAAGAAAAATTCACATTAGTTATAGAAGAAAGTAGGAGAGCCAGCATCTTTATGGAGTTTCCAAAATTTTAGTGCATATCACACATGCACCGGAGAACCTGTTAAAGTGTGCCAAATCCTGACTTGGAAGGCCTGATGCCCAAGTCTCTGCACGTTCAACAATTACCCTTTGCAACCTTGACAAAGAGGGTACCAACAGCCCTGTGTGCTCAGAAACTCCTAAGTGCTTCCATTTCCTCTCACCAATGACATGGCCCTCCCTGAGCAATGTGTGCAGGTGACACTTGCATCATATCTTGTCAGCAACCCCCTTCTCTTCCAATAGTTTGAAGTTGAAGTTCTTCTCCCTTTGCAGCAAGAATGGACTCTATGGTTGGTGTGCTTGTCAATATGCTTATCAAATATCAAGTCCTGAGGCTGAAATAAAGGGTGTCAAATTGGCATCACTTAAGAGTACAAAATTGAAAGCAATAAAGCAATACCAAGATAACCCAAAACAGGCTTTAAATATTACAAGGCAATCTAGAAAACACACTCAGAAACCATCTCTTCCTTCATAATATTGATTCAGCTGGAAAAATGAGCTCTAAGCAACAAAAGCAAGTTGCAGAACAGGCCCTTTTTACATCTCAGGGTCTAGTTGGTTGGATTTGCTTCCATCTGCATGTATTTTGTTTTACTTTACTTTTGGTGAAAAGTACTCTTGGAAGATAAATGCCCTCTCACTGCTTTGATCCTTCCAAACCTCGTGAGTGGCACACTCTGGAGCTGACACCCAGGAGCCCTGCTGCTTTCTTGTAATGGTGTGTGCTTACCCCCATGCTTTTGTAGTAGGGAAGTGACCTGCTGAGCTTTAACAGAAGCATCTTACAGCTCCAAGGATGCCTTTTCTTCCACAATGGTAGGATCCCTGGGCAGGCCTGGCACTTCCAAGCACCTGGGGAATAGAACTAGTCCCCAGGAAATCAGCAGTTCCTCTCCCTCTAAAACCTGAAGGCCAGAGAATTCCAATGCAGCCAGACACTTGACAGAGGCAAAATGAGAAGGCGGGAAGATTGGTGAGTTCCAGCATGCTCCAGGCAAATTGGAAAAGAAGCCAGGTGAAAAGAATCACCACCTGGGTGTTTGTGGACACAGGCAAAGCATCCTGTCTTTCCTCTACTTTCTTGCTTCTTGGGGAATTCAAGGGCCTAAATGCCACATTGGATGCAAGGCAAGTTGACCCGGAGCCTTCCTAGCTCAGGGTACCAGAAGGCTCCAGCCAGGAAACTCCAGGCCCTGATAAGGGGGAACAGCACATTTGTTATAAAGTGGGTATCCATAATGATGATATAACAGCTCTCATTCATGGAGCCCTTGTCAGGCGTTATTCGAGCATTATTTTCATTTTACAGGTAAGGACAATGATGCACAGAGGCATTAAATCCTCTGCTAGGTTTTCCAGGATAGAAGTGCCACAGCTGGCTTAGGTAGTCTGGCTTGGAACCACTGTGCTATACTGCCTCCCACTGGCTACACTTTGATGATAAATACCTGAACTGCACAAAACCTTAGATCTGTAGAACTGTTCCACAAGTTATAGATGTCATTTCAAATTTTCTTGTCACCACATAAAAAATGAAAATAGAAGAAATTAATTTTATTTCTTTTCAGCATGTAATCAAGATTTCAAATTGGTAATGATACATCTTAATTTTTTTTCAAATCAAGTTTCTGAATACTGTGTGTTTTACATTTACTGTGTGAGCTCAACCTCACTTGGAAAAGCCACATTTCAAGCACTCCAAAGCCACACACAGTGGAATTTCCAGGCTGTACCACAATGCAATGTGCCATATTTAGAAACAGGTGAGGCTCCAGCCCAGGCATGATGGGTTACACTGCACAAAGTGACAGAAGCAAGCCTCTTCTCACACCTCAAAATGCATATTAACAGAGTCAGTTCAAGAAATAGTACAGAGAGCATGCAAGTAAAGATCACTGTGTAACAGCTGCTAGAATATTTCCCGGAGAACTGGATGATTCCCACTGTCCAGCCTGTTCCTCCTTTATTTCCCACTGGAGAGCCCTCTTCATTCATGTCCTGATGGCAAGGTCTTAGTAAGCTTCCTCTTGCTTTGGGCAGGCATCTGTTATGCCCATCCCAGATATTTCTTAGCCGAAGAGGGGGACAGAACAGTATATCTGAGTCTTAACTGACACAAGCCTGCTGCTTTCATTGCAAGAGTGTTACTAACCTATGCTTTATTTACTATGCCAGGAAACAGTCTTCACATCTCCACAGTGTAATAGCTGTGTCATTAGCTCCTTATTTCTACATATTCTCCTTACGTGTTTTTTTTTTTAGCCAAAGAACAGAAGTCTGTGAAGCCTGGCATTATGCTATTAAGGGGTCATTAGTTCCACTCAAATTCAGACGGGCCACACATCCTAATCATAAATCCAGCATCACTTGTCCTGTGCAAAAAACCCTTCTTATTAGATACATAAAAGCAGTGAGAGTTAGGGGAAGCTGAGCATGATTCATTTCCTCCCTAGCTACCATGAATTTTGCCTCATCTCTTGCTGAGAGATGCAAATATTTAATGATAATTTTTGTGGCATTTTTCCCCATGAAGGTCGGGCGGGGAGCTTAATTATAATGTTTCATTAAGAAATGCATCATCTCCTAGGTGTACTGCAAGGATGATCAGTTATTCTGCTGTCGATGAGGGAACATAATGTATCCTGGCACAATTACATGCATAGCACCAGTAGAGAGAAAAGAACGTTTTGTAGACTATTCAGGTTGAAAAGACTAAACAGAACATCTACTTTTACAAACTTTCTAAGGATAGAATGACTTGGAATACTTCAATAATCACAATAGAGCCTCACATAAGAACTACTGAATCAGAAAGCTGGGAAGAGCCAGGACACCGTGGGTCTGGTAGCCATTAACATCTCAGCTTACTGTTACCAGGATATTCAAGGTAATTTTGTGGTAACTGATGAGGAAATGGGGCCTGATAGAATTCGCACACCTACATCAGAAGGGAATACAAAACTTTTCAGGAAGTGGGGTTTCTTTTGAATAGTTTCTAATATAACTTCCTGGATTGCTCAGGGTTCAAGAAGATCTATAGGCATCAAACTTTCACATATTCTTCTCTCTTTTTTAACCACTTTTTAATTTATTTATTTTTAAAATAATCTTACTTAGTTGATTAGGGTACAAAGGGTCAAGGGCTACAGGAAAGTGGGTAATACCATTGTTTCCACACTAATATTTTTTCTCCTGTATCTGGGGTCGGGAGGGAAATAAAGGGAAAAGGCCCACGCAGCCTCCCACCCGTTCCAGGTCCCCGATGTGGGGCACACTCTGAGGGTCCTGCTCAAGCAGTTTTGATAGGTCAACAGGTCTGAATTGCTGCCAATCTCGCTGTTCCAATTGCAATGAAAGCTATTCAGAATCCATTGGCTGACATAGTCTCTTCATGGTTGGGGTTCTGAGATCAGCAGTTTAGTTGGAGGGATCTCCAAAGAAACTTTATCTGAGATGATCCCAAACCTGATTCCTGTGTGAATTTGCCAGTACAGGGTCTGGCACAGTCCATCACCCCAATCAGCTTATGCACATGCTGGTCGATACAATTGCTGGGTCAGTTCTGTTTCTACCCGTCTTCCACTTGAACCAATGGGTGTTGTAGTCTAGCTCGATCCTACCCACTTCACACTTGGTCATCACGCAAACCAATGGGAGCTGCAGCCTAGCTGGGGTGACTCCCCATAACCCCCACCAGGCCTGCTCCCTACCCTGGTTCCCATGCATACCAGTATGTACCGCAGACTTGTTCAGTCTGTCCCACATCCCATTTAGCCCTGGTACTTGTCAATGGGCATTGAAGCCTAGTTCAACACAACCAACTTACTATCCAGCACACACACATATGTCATAAACTCAGAAGAGACCACCTTAGGAACTAAGCCAAAGCACTTCTGATGATCCCTAGATATTTCATGTTCGTTCATTGCCATTCTTTTAGATTCTAATTCTTTTATAATTAGTCACCAAATATGTAACCACCAACCCCTAGTAACTGAATTCCTCCTTTATCTTAAGGGAAGGGATGTTAAGCTATCTGACCAGACCTCATTTGTCTTTACTACAGCAAGACAAAAACATGTCATCTGTTTTACAGAAAAACTAGGGATGAAAATCCAGTGAGAAATGTCTTTCCTATTTCAAAATGTTGACTGTACTACCTTTTTAATGTAATTTTTTTTTTCTTTCCTCAGATTGTCCCAAACCTCCCAACATTCCCATGATTATGTTGGGCGTTTCTCTGGCGATCCTTCTCATTGGTGTTGTCCTACTGTGCATTTGGAAGCTCTTGGTGTCATTTCATGATCGTAAAGAAGTTGCCAAATTTGAAGCAGAACGATCAAAGGCCAAGTGGCAAACGGTATATAAACCTTGGGGGGCTATCCCTAGTCCGGGCAGGAAGAGCCTGGTGCGAGGAAGAGGGTGAGGGCTCAGCTCTATTCTAACCTAGCAGAGTTCAAATGCCAGGTTCTTTCTCTATGATGCTCACCAAGAGCCCAGCAACTTTCATTTCTGTTCTGCTTGGAGACAAAAGAACCTGTGTCAGTTATCTGGGCCCAGATGGGTGACATACATTGGTCCATCAGTGCAGCGAAGATTTCTACCACTCTTAGGGTCTCACAAAACTCATTTTGTAGCTACTTAGGAGCATCAAAGAAAAACATTTCGTTCACTTCTTCCTTACCACCAAAGGATCCCACATGATTACACTTAGGTGCTGTATCTAACGCTTCCTTAAATCAGTCTGCTTTAGCCTATGAACTATTGGCTCATGACTGGTATGACAACTCATGCCAATTTCTACAGAAATGCTCGTTACTGATATTACAAAAAAAAAAAAGAGGTAGAAAAAATAAGCAGTTTTCTCAATGACCTAAATTTTAAACAGCTTCTTGAGAAAAGCATTAACCTTTAACTATATATGTTGAATAAACATAATTGTTAAATGTCTCTTCTTCTCAGTAGCAAAGAGAAAACAGAACAACGGTTTTCTCTTTCTTTTCCACAGGAGAGATAATTACATTTCTAGAGACCCATAGAAGCAATTTCATGGTTTTAATTTCATGTCTGTGTCTCTAATGGTTGCCCAGCTATCTAATAGCAATTATCTTGCATTGCTGATTCTAAAAACAGTGTTATCACTAGAGAAAACATAGGCAGATACAATGTTCCTGCAGGTTTGTCTGCTCCAATAAATTGGTGTGAATGGGCTTTTCTCTAAATCTGTAGGGGTATCTTTAATTCCTAAAGCAAATGGGATTTTCTGTTAGATACATTTATCTTGATGAAATGTTTCTATTTAATGCAGCTATTTCAGACTAAATATATATATATCATATATCATATATATATTATACGTATATATGATACAGGACAGTGGGCAAGGAAGATTTTCACCTACTTTATCTTCCCATTAAAAATGCTTTTAGACCCAATCATCAAATGTATTGGTTAGATCTTGGTTGGATCCTGATTTGGTCAGTCTAACATCAAAAATGCAGGTGTGAGATAACTGGAAAACTATTAATATGCATTGGATTTTAAGACAACAGCAATGAAGCATGAAGTGTGGTTAGTGTGAGTAGGAATGACAAGGATGTTATGACTTTGATAGAAAACACCCCATATGTTTTAGAGATGCATACTGAATTATATAGGAGTGGGATAAATGAAGGCTGAAGGTTTGCTTTGAAACAATTCAGTCAAAAGATGCAGTAGGAGGGAGAGAGTTGAAACAGGTATGGTGAAATCCTAGTGCTTGTTGAATCTGGGTGACAGCTTTATGGAGGTTTGTCACACAGCTTCCTTCGTGTGTGTGTGTGTGTGTGTGTGTGTGTGTGTGTGTGCATTAGCTTTTCATATTAAGCAAAGGTCTTTAGGAAAGTAAGCTGCAGGTTTCCCATGAGGATATAACTAATCCTTTGCCAATCATAAGAAATGTAGCCTGACAGGCTAGCTCAGTGACTTGGTAAATAGTGCTAATGAGGTCAAAATTGTGTGGCAGTAACTTCACCTGATCCCATGGCCAGAGATGTTATTTTTAACTTTGGCCAACTGTCAAACAACTGCCCAGCAACAGTCGGAAGGCCACCAGGCTAAAGACTGGTTGTAGTGGTGCAAAGCAATGCCAGCAAATAGATGAAGAATCCTCAGTTCTGTGAAATGGTCTTGGTATTCCTATTATGAAGGCAAGGAAACTGAAATTCAGAGAAGTAAATGGGTTTCCCACACATGGAGTACATGGTGGGCATAAACCCTAATTGTTAAATGCTCTTTTTAGCACAATCTTCAGTTGACTCTCTTAGAATTAATAAGTAGGTGTTCCACAAACAAGCACTTGGGCAATTATGCGATGTCTAACAACCAGCACATTTTAATGTTCTCCTACAAAGGCAGGAGTGCTGACAAATGATTAATATCTTTAAAATAACATTTTAATTAACAGTTAATTTCCCCCCAAACATGAATTGTTCTCCCTCAGGAGGTAGAACATGACTGAAATTCAAATGCTGAATTTTTGCTCATTCTTCTTCTAAAATGGGACAAAAACATGCATTAAACAGATAAAAGCATAAATGAAAAATATTATTCTCTTGTTAAATTGAGTTTCTTTGCATAATAAATGTTTGATGTTCCTGACTAGATAATGACTGAGTAATAATTATTCACTTGGATGCAAAAGAGGTTTAATTCAAATAACTCAGTTCAAATTTCACTAATACAATTTTTTTTCAGACTGAGAAAAAATGTTGCTCAGTGCATACATTTAGGAGTCTTCTGTTTAATTCAGTTTTTATCTAAAACCTCTTCTTCAAGAGATGAATTTGACTGGTCTTCAAAACCCAAGGGACTTCCAGGGACGTTAGGGACCATCAGGGCTGGAAGGAACGGCTACCCTTATATTCTGCTTTAAGAAATACCCCCTCCCTCTGCATTTTCTTTATGAAAACACAAATGGAAGATATTTAAATTCATATTTGATTAGACATTTTTTTCTGGAATGACAAGTCATTAACTTGAGGGAAAAAGTGTTCAGCCTGACATTTCTTGCCGTCATGGATTGATTTTGTACTGTGCTAAGCAAATCAGGTCTGCATTTGGCAGTTAGGCAATCATTAAGGAAGCCGTGGGTCATGACAGGGAATGTTCCTATTATCACTTTTTCAAGCTTGAAAAATGCGCCATTGCATTTACCAAATCCACGGTCTAAATTAGCATCCATAGACCCCGGGGGGGGGGGGAGATTAACCTGGTCCCCCAGATAGTTAGGGGAAAACTGACCTTGTCTGAACAGCTGAGTTGTCCAGAATAGCGTGGGAGCCATGCCTGTGTCTCAGCCTCAAATCCTACAAAAGAACTTGCCTCCCAGTTGGCACTACAGGGGGCACTTCTGGACATCCCAAGCTTCCTCGTGCCAACAAAATCTGATTTGAAAGTTTTCTGTGAGGTCTGATCAGCAGCTGAGGATGGGAAACACCCTTCTGTATCCAGCCCCAATGGCAACATGCACTTGCTATTCTTTCCTGTTTACATCTCTTCACCTTAGCCTCCTTCCAGAGTTTGCTTTATGCATCACCCTATCAGCAATGCCTTGGTCCTGTAACTGTTCTGTCCCACCCCCAACCCCTGCTAAATATTGAAGACCCCATTAAATGAAGTCACTTTAAAACACAGAACAGAAACTACATGATCAAAAGGAAACATTCAATGAAATATGTATTTTTTTGAAATGACAATGTGTTCTCCTGTTCATTGAAACTCACATCACCCCCTTTCACCATGCATATAAAGGATATGTAATGCATTTTAATGTGTTTGACAGGATGTTGGATCGAGTCTGCTAACAAGTATCTGGTCCTATAAACATCTAAGCTGGCCCTACCCATAGCCCATTGCCTCATTTAACATCTTCACTCTTCCCTAAGCCTCTCTTCCTCCAGGACCAGCTCCACCCAGCATCCACAGACTACATCTCTCCTTTGTTCATTTGTTTCAATTCCATTCCTATTCTTATGTAACCAATTAACATGGTGTCTCTTGACAAAACTTCACATATGCATCCAGACATTTAAGGTGACATCATTCTGCCTTTTACCCTCAAACCCCTAAATTCTTATGGCAACAGGGCCGAGTTTCTTCCAATCTATCCAGGCTGATTTCTTCAGCCTCCAGCCACCACCAGCCAAGGAACATTTTCCTACTTGCTGTCATGGTACAGACAGAATCTCTATTCAAAGGTAACATGTCACTCTGTCAGAGGTCAGGCCACTGGCTTTAGGCAATATGAACAGGTGCAGGTGTGATGCCTGCTCACGATGAAGACACTATGGCAAACCCAAGGTCAGTGAGCAGGAGACTCCAGGAAATGTTTTTCAGTTCTGAAAGCTGAAACAAATGTACTGAGGAAACAAATCGAATGGTATGTTGACAAATTGCTATCATCAGTACAATTCTTGGGCTCAGAAGAGCGAAGTGTTAAAATCTAGTAACGGAAGGTCACTGGTGGAGGCTGGACTCCAGTCAGACTCTGAAATGAGCTTGGAAATACTAACAGCACTAAAAGCCTTAGGGGAAACATTTTCCTACCCTTTCTAGAATTAAAAGAGAGAGACATCCCACATGCGAAGAAAAACTATAAATACAAATGACAAGAGAAACATTTAGTGGGCATTTCCTATGTGCCAGACACAGTGTTACAGGCCTTTACATCTCAGGGGACACAGGGACTCTGTGTGCAGCCTCATAGATAAGGCCCTCAAGGGCAGAACTGCTAAAGCTCATGCAGTGCAGCTAGCTGGGTTTGAACTCAACTTGCCTGATGCCAAAGCCTGTGTGACCAAAACTGAAAAGCTGAAGAGGAGAAACTGTTGCTTCCCCATCACCTTTTGCCTGTCTACAACATCTAGAGGAGCACAGAATTGGGGTCACAGCACCACACTCATTAGCACCTGGAAACACATCCACAGCCCAGATGAGCTCGCCAGGCACTGACACACGAACTTTCCTCTGCCTAAGGCAAAGTCATTTGCCCAGCTTGCCTTGGGACCTCTGCTGTTTCAAAAACCCAGAGCCCACACTCTTACACTGCTCTTACTTTACATAGCAAAGCTAACCAGCTCTTTCTCTATCTGAAGCAGGTGTGAGCTGTCCAAAGGGTCCTTCTTGCTCCTCCAACGCAGCTAGTTACTACTCACTCTGAGCCTTGTCTTAGTTTCACAAGATTACCTGTGCACCTGTTTGATGATGCTCACCAACTACACATTTTAAATTTTTTTGGTCTCTATTTTGTTTTAATTGACACATAATAATTGTACGTGTTTATGAGACACAAAATGTGCATAATATCTTGATATGTCATGTGCAATGAGCAAATCTGGGTGGCTAGCATATCCATCACCTTAAACATTTGCAGTATCTTTACAATCAGAACATCCAACATCCACAATGCTACATATGAGTGATTTTGCACAGTATTATTTCTTGAAGGCAGGTACTATGTAGCTCAGTTTTGAGCATTGCCTGCCAGTGTGACACTGTTCTTTACATTTCACATTGGTTCCTCCACCAGCATTCATTCTGTTCATGTGATAAATACCGAGTACCTACTAGGAATCAACCACTCTTCTCAGGGATAGGAAAACCACAATGAACAAAACAATCAAAGTCTTATTTTCTCTCCACAAATTAGTACATTTCCAAAAAGGGTACAATTTTTTAAAAACACATGTACAGAACTGGTTCTGCATTAAAAAAAACAGAGTGAAGACATGTAAATTGTAAACTGCTGAAGCATAAAATAGCAGATGAATACAAAACTACCCCAATGGTCTCCAATATTAAACTCGATTCCTCCAATTTGAACTAACATTAAATCATTTAGAGACATTAAAAATAATAACAAAACATGTATTTTTCATTGGAACTTATTATTTTTTTTTTCAGGGAACCAATCCACTGTACAGAGGCTCCACTAGTACTTTTAAAAACGTAACCTATAAACATCGAGAAAAACAAAAGGCGGACTTTTCCACAGATGGATAGAACTGCTTTTCTGCATGAGAGAAGTCTATTCCACTGACAGGAAATGTTAATGCACTACTGTATTTTTATTTCTTTGTTGCTTCCAAAGGAGGTTGGTTTAAGATAACAATAGGTCATTCGGAGATCAATCATTCTCTGTACGAAGGTGAGACACTACCTTGGCAGGTTCAAAAATAATCAAGAAGAGGAATATCCCTAACAAAGAGGTGACTTTGGGGAGCATTTGAGGAATACTAACTCTGTCATATTAATGCTTCAAAAAATCATCAAGATGATTCATGGGGGCCTGATTTGCATTTGAAAAATGTTTTAAATTAGAATCTCATTTGTTTCAGAAATACAGCTAGCTGAAGTCTTTGTCTTAGCAAAGTCACAAAGCCCATATGCTCATATTGTATACCCACACTTGTCAATTAATTCTCAACTTGTTGCAAATCTGCGCTTTCTTAAACAGGGATTCTTAAAAACAAAAACAAACAAACAAATCAACTCCATGATAAATGAGATTGATTCCATTTAAGCCTGAAGGATGCACTTCTCCCATAGGTGTCCCAAATACAATACTGAGAATTAAGTTTTGTTAATGACTATGTATCAGCATGTACCTAATGTCAAGCATCTTAAATGATTTTTGCAATTAAAGAAGTAATTTATAAATGAAGAGGTTACCAGTAAAGAACAAATATCATCTCGTCATCTAGCTTATTGTAAAATTACCTGGAAAAAATAATATTCTGACTCACTTTCCTTTTTGATTCTAAGTTTTCAAACTATGATTTTGCCCAAATTTCTCAAGCCATTTTACTCAAAGTCCTTTAAAATTCTGTGGCTTGTCATCAAGTCTCTCATTTTTTAAACACGTTTACTTTAAATGATTAGCTTATTCAAAGAAAGATTCAGTAATACGAAAAAGAGCATGATCTAACTGAAATAAAATTTGAAATAAACACATCAGGAATTTGCAAGTTCCTCATGAACTGTTCCAAATTTGTAGTCTATATCCTTTTCTCATCTGTGTAACCCAACTTGTACATCTCAGCTGCATACAATATATATGCATTAAATATTTACTTTAAGAAGTAAATTTTACTTGCAAAACATAATTAGGAAGCTGTCTGAGGAGATGGATTCTATAGAATATTCTCTATGGTCACTACAGCTTTACAAGGCACTTTCATTTGATTTGATCCTCATAGAAAACTAAGGCTTAGAGAGTAAGCAGAACTGGGTTCAGAATCTACATATTCTAATTCCAAGCCATGTCTTCTGGTCCACTGCCCAAGATTGCCTCTTTGTGAGTGAACCAACAAACTGTGGCAGCTAAGCTAGCATGTGTTTTTAAAGCATACTAAGACTAAAACAAATGGCATTTAAGCTACTGGAATGCAGGGTGAGATCTTGTACTTTGGTGCAATGTTAATTACCTATGATTAAATGAAACTAGAATGTGATAACAACTTGGTGAATGAATAGCTCACTAGGTAGCGGAGGTGTGTGGGTATCTATTGAATTGTCACAGGGACATCGATGCCTTTCTTCAACTCTACTGGATACACATATATAGGCGTTTGGAAATTCTCTCTCTCTCTCCTTTTAAATAACTCAGGTAAATCAAACATTCAAGGTGGACAGGCTGTTCACAAAGAATTGATCGCCTTGGAAATGTGAGGGCTGGTGTACACCCTATGCTGCACCCAGAACCTGTGAAAATCTAGAGCAACATACAAATTCCAACACTGATGACACAGCAATGAATTCACCTTCATATGGTACTTCTTGTGTACTATTTTATTATTATTGTTATTGTTATTATTATTGTTATTGGGGTGAGACTTAGAAAATAGAAGCCTCCTTTGTGTGTATTTTAGGGAAGGTAGAGAAAAATCTGTTCTTTCTCTGAATACTGTTTTGACCCAAGGCGGGACCTTGGAAAGGCCAAAACATTAACAGTAGTACTTCTGTTCACTGAAGAGTTATGTTACATGAAGATAAAATAGTTTTTGTGCAGGTTGTTTTATTGTATTTTGTGTTGACATAAATAAACATGGTAATTTAAACAACTGACTGTAGATGGGTGATATCTTCCTTTATTAACTGGAGACAAAACCCTCTTCTTGGATTTCTGGATCCTGCTGTGACCTGCCCTGACTGCCTAGCTGGCCTCCACGTGGAGCCAGGGAGGGAGCAGAGGCAGGAGGCAACGGGAAGAGGCTGTGACTTGCTGCTTGAGACTACGCATAGCAGGTCTGGACATGACCCATATTTGATTAAATCAACTATTTGAGGGTTAATATTATGCACTGAAATGGAACCTCTTTAATCCCCATCCCAAAGACATGTCTTACCCACAGTATCTTGAGATGTCACTGTGTGGTTGGAAATGGGTGGTTCTTAATGGGATTTATTGAATTAAAATGAGGCCACAGGATTGAGCCCTACCCCAACATTACTGATGTCTTATAACAAGAGATTAGGACACAACTGTGGGCTGAGGGGAGACCACATGAAGACATAAGGGGAGGACAGCCATGTAGAAGGCAAGCAAGGCAGCTTAGGAAGGAAATGTTCTCTGGAGAATCAGTTGCCAGTTTCCCATTGTGTCATCTTGTGCCTACTGTCCCTAATTTCCTGTTTCCCTGCTCTTTTCTTCTGGGATGGCATTTCCATATAAAACACTAGCATATGAATGTGTTTCAGGTTCTTATTTACAGGGATCCTAGACTGAGTCTGCTCAGCAGTACCAAGTACTGTCCAGAACATAAAGCAAGACAAAAAGACACACTATGTCCTGCAAGAGCATATCCTTAGATGGACTTGAACTTTTTAATAGAGATCTGCTTAAGAAAGAAAAATAAGCAAGTGCAAAGGCCCCAAGAAGAAACATTATCATGTAAGGAAACTCCAAACAATTTATGGAATGGGTCCTGTGCAGTGGCTCAATGGCTAAATCCACATGGGGGATCCTATATGGGCTCTGGTTCATGTCCCAGATGTTCCACTTTCTATCCAGCTCCCTGCTTGTAGCTAGGGAAAACAATAGAGGTTCAAAGCCTTGAGAATCTGCACTCGCATGGGAAATCCAGAAGAATCTCCTGGCTCCTGACTTCGGATCTGATCAGCTCTGGCTATTGCAGCCATCTGGAGAGTGAACCCATGGATGAAAGCTCTTTCTGCCCATCTTTCCTTCTCTCCATAAATCTGATCTCTTTCCAATAAAAATATTTTTTTAAATGTTTATAGGAAATGTAATTAAAACATAAGCTTTTATTGATGGAAATTTTTTTGAAATCCATGCATACACAAGGTCTTCAAAGAGTTCATGGAAAATACACATTATGAAAAAAACTATGCATGGGATTAAAAATGTCTTTGCATCAAAATAAACTGGCTTATTGCAATATTCTGCAATGTTTTTTGTAAGGCTGTTTATATTTAAGAAGCAGCAGAAAGGTTAATTGGGATAGAAAGGAATTAAAATTTGTTAAAAATGAAATGAAATGAAGAAGAGTCATTAGGACAAAAATATATTTTTAATGTTACTGTGAGAAAAGCTTTGTAATTTCAAATATCACTACTTAATGATCCATAGGAGCACAGTTCACATAAACTGCCGGTAACTTGCTGAAAAACGTCCAGGGTTTTATTTAGATATGATCCTTTCCACATTAGGTGACCTGACTGCTATTCACTCTTGCACTCAGTAGCAGATTATTGAAGAACATGTGATAGTCTCAAAAAGCGGTAACACACAAGCATTTACAGCCTTTTTTTTTTTCCTTTCCTTTACCTTTAGAGAAAGACAAGTTTTGTGGTCTTTTGGTGCAGTGGGAGGGTTTGGTTATGACAAGTGCAGATATTTTTTTTTTATTGTAAAAGACCTATGAAATGAAATAGAAGTTTTAAAGGACAAGTACAAAGCCATGATGATGTGAACTAAAAAGCATTAACATTATGAAGAGAGTTGGGGAGCACATAAAGCTGACCTGGCTGGGTTTTGAGGAAAGAATGGCAGTCTGAGAAGAGAAAAGGTCTTTGGGGCAGCCACTATATGCAAATACAGTTTCTAAAACTTAGAAGAAAATGAAACTAAGTGTTGATTTTGATGCAAAATTTTTTTTGTAAAACTTTGTTTTATGCCTTTTTTAAAAAATTAATTGCATTGCATCATGTGACACAGTTTTATAGGTGCTGGGATTCCCCCCACCCTTCCCGAAATCCTCCCTCTATGGTGGATTCCTCCACCTTACTGCATTGCCACAGTTGGAGTTCAGTTGAGGTTCTTTCATTGCAAGCATATACCAAGCATAGAGTCCAGTATCTTATTGTCCAGATAAGTTCAACGGCTTCTTGGGCAGATCATCTCTAGTCTGAAGGTAGAGCCGACAGAGTATCATCCCGATCAATTAAAAGCCCTGACATAACATCAGCAACAATTTATAATGTTATGGAATTAGTTGACATAGTATTGAGTAACCAATATGTTAAGGAAAAAAAAGATGCAAGTTCTTAACCACATCCTTTGACTTCTTCATTGACATTTCAGTTATTAGTTTATATACAACTGGGTTCTATACACCTTAAAATGGCTATAGATTACTGTTCAGCTGTTACGTTTCTATTTTCATTGTAGTATTTAGCTTTTTATAGTGTTGAAGTATAATTTTGCGGAACCTGGCTTTTTTTCCAGGAAGTCTAGACTGGCTTATAACTCTAACAAGACATATGTCAACAGTTTAGGTGCAGAACAGTTTTAGAAGGAGGGGTGTGCAGAGAAATCGTCAATGCCCTAGTGAGGAGTAACTAATCTTTATGTCCCACCTAGTGAGATATAAGTGAATCCACGTTGACCGTCTCCTGTCTGATTCTAGGCTTTCCTTGTTGTTTTCTTTCTAGATTTTTTTGTTTGCTTGCTTGTTTGTTTGGTTATTTGTTTGTTTTGAGGGGTTTCCGGAGCGATCCTGATGGTCACTGCCAGAGAGGGTGTGGACCCAAAGTTGGAA